TTTTTTTTTTTTTTTTTGCCCTCGTAATTGCCAAAGTTTATTTGAAAAAATTTTTTTTATTTCTTTTTCGTTATCAATTATTTTCAATTAGGTGTTTTTGTTGTGGAATGACGATACAGTGAAAAAAAGAAAAATTTTTTTACAATCTTGAGTAGACAAACAGGAAGATAGGTAAATTCATTGTTTCTGACAGCACTGTTATTCTCTAACCAAATAGGCGGTGCTTAGATGATGGGTTGTTTGTTGGGTTGCTCATATGCCGCTCCCGTTGGATCTATTCTATTTAATGGCCTGTCTAGTCAGGGGTGTTAAAGTTATCACATCAGTATTTCTTTCCTAAGTATTTTTCATTTGCCACCTGCTAGTTACAAAAGAGAAACAACAATAGCAAATAACAATAGCAACAATAACATTACTACTGCTGCTACTACAATTACTATTGTTACTACTGTCGGTATACCGTCAAAGGCAGCAGTCGCAACAGCAGCTTCTCTGCGATTCCGTTGAAGTGGAAGGGAAAAACAAGATCTGCCGCGCCACTTCTTTTATTAATTCCATTTGCTGTGTTTATATGTATATTCAGATACTGTTATTGCTTCCATTTACAGTATTTGTTAGAACTTTATTGTTTTATTGTTTTTATTCTGATATTTCACTAATTTGGAGCAGAAGCGTCGTTCGTTAGCTTGTGAACCGTCATATGGCCCCTGGTATCTTTTATCCTCAGCATCAACTACAGGACTACGGCTGTCCTTCAACAACGATAAGTAAAAAAAGTTGTAAAAAATGGGATTTTTATGAAATACAACCTGAAGGTCATGTTGTCTGCCAGGCACCTCATCTTCCAAAGCAGTCATTTATTTTTGGCAAGTACTGGCCACCGATATTCAAGCCAGAAAATATAAAGTAGGCATGCACACTATGGCTATTTCTATAAGCAAATACAGTTTCAATTTTTAGTACAATTTGTTTTTCTTTAGTTTCAAAAGTTTTTTTTCTCATAACTTTCTTATTCTTTGCAGTGTCATCTGATGTTGAAAAAAAAAAAAGGAGAAGGAGAAAAAAATGTACTTTATTTATATTTAGAAGTGTCAAAAATATGAAACCCCGCGATGACGACGTATTTGTTTGCACGTACCCAAAATGTGGGACCACTTGGATACAACATATATGTGCTCAACTGATGAGTAATAAGTATGGGCCTGAAGCTGGAAATGGTGAGAGTACAGTTGTGAAAGTAGCGTAGAAGAAATTTTGAATAATGAAATTGAACCAAAATTATTTTTTTGGAACTCCTGAACACGTTTTTACTATACGGTAACCATAACAGTCGTTCCAGAATTGTCTATAACAAGTCCAATGATTGACCGGATGGGGGCAGAATACGCTGACCGCTTGTCCAGTCCACGGTTGCTCAAAACACACATGACTTGGGATGATCTACCTAAGAATCCGAAAGCGAAATATATCTTCTGTGTCCGAAATCCTAAAGATTGTTTAGTCAGGTTGATATTAACTCAAAATAATTTTAGCTTCTCCGCTTTAATAGTTATTTATTTTGAGCGTCTAATTGGTGCACTTTTTTCAGTTATTACTTCCATAACCAGAACTTCAAGATATACAACTACGAAGAAGGAGAGTTTGATTATTTCTTCAACTTTTTCAACTCGAAAAATATAGCTTTTGGGAATTATTACGACCATTTCCTCAGCTGGATAAGTCACACTGAAGAAGAAAATGTATTATTTTTGAAATATGAAGACATGTGGGAAAATCTTGAAGACGCTGTGAAAAAAATAGGACGTTTCCTTGGTGGAAGGGCTGTACAGAAGATTGAGGATGAAGAAGAGTTTAGAAGGATCGTGAATGAAAGCAAAATTGACTCGATGAAAAAGGACCAGTCGAGATGGTTCCCCGCTGACAACTTGTAAGTTCCAAAGCTTATTTAATGATGAGCCAAGGTAATACTAGTAACTATAAGAAAAATATTAACCTTTCTTACAGGCGAGGAAAACCGTTTATAAGGAAAGGTGGAAGCCGAGACTGGAAAAATTACTTTACCAAGGAGCAGTCTGATTGTATGGATAAAGAATGGCGTGAAAAAGTTTGTGGTACGATTGCGGAGAACTGGTGGAAAGAAGAAATGGCTTGGGACGTCAACGTAGAGACTACCAAGACTGTGCAAGAAGACTTTTATAGTTCTGGTCCACTGTCTCCCACCGACGATTTCTTATTTACTTCTTCAGACTTGGGGTCCTTTGGAAAACCTAGTGAGTCAATTTTAATCGGTTCGTGTCGGCAGCATCTCTCGTCGACATCGAGCGAATCAGGTTATGGATCGTTTGATGAAAACTTTATTGAAGGTCTGTTAAAGAGATAAAATATGAAATTTGTAGATATTAGTTACCTCTTCATTTATTGTTTGCTTTTTGAATTCCCCTGTGACAAATTATTTCTATATCTTTTTTTTCTTCACTGATCTCAACTTAGTTGTTTAGTTACTCTTTTTGCCAAAGATTTTGCTTTAATATTTGGCATGGCTTTCATATTAACAGACATGCTTTAGTGAAAAGTTAAAGAAGAGGTTCACAATTTGTAAAGCATTGTTTATTTGAAGTTTTTGAAGCAAATTGCTTTGGCAATTCCGCTGTTCTGGAGCCAGTTCGTCGTAAAAGTTCTGTTGTTTGTCTTCATTGTCCTTTTTGATTTATTTTTCTTGTTTATTAGACTACTGGAATAGAAGTTTAACATTTCTGGCAAAAAATTTGGAGGAAAACTAAAAATTAAAAACAGAACGTTCTTGATTTCAGTCGTGATTTGTAATCTTATGATACTGGTTTCGCAGCCATACCTCAACCTGCTGCTACAACCTCTACGTATTCTTACAGATTGCTCATACTTTTTAAGTTGTTATTTCTCAAACTTGTTTGTAAATTTTAGTTTATTTCAATTGATTTTTCTTTATTTTTCTTTTTACTGAGCGCGAAATTTGTTTTTATCAAATTTATCCTCATTAACTATACTAACCTCTGGATGACAAAAGTGGCGTGCATATCTGATTTCTTATAACCATTCGTTAACAAATGTTTTATTTCTCTATGTGTTATTCTTTATTGTTGTAAATGGTGCTTGTTTTTGTTTTTTAATTCACAAGGGAAGATTCTTCTGTCAACTGTTTAGGCAATATTTATACATATATGTATATTTATACCTGTATAATTCTATATATACCAAATTTGTTATTGCCTTTTATTAATATTCTTGACTTGCTCAAAACTTTGTACAAAAAGATATAAAAAATGACTACCTTAAGGTGGATCGTAATGATGAGAAAATTTAGTTTGAAAAAATTACTGGGATCAATGTTTTTAAATAAAGATCTCACCTAATTGTTGTCCACATCGTCCGTCGTTGCTGAGCATTGTAAGCACAAGTAAGAGTTTTTAATTTTTTCTGAAAGTCATTTCCACAGTCCACATCGGTAGATTTTCTTTTAAAGCTGAGTATTTCAGCACAGAGAATAAAAATTATCTTTATAAGAATATAGTAATAATAAAATAACTGTACTTTTTTTCTGCTGAAGAAGCCTGTGAAAGTAAAGTTATAGAATTCTTTTCCTTTTAGAAAATGGTTAACTGTAATTATATTTCTAATAGCCATTTTCCAATCCGTCAAAATGTTAGTGCTGATAAAGCATTAATTCTTCAAATAAGGTTTTTTATTTTTTAGACTATTCTACCGCTTTCGTTATCAGTATTTGCGAGGAAAATTTTTGCCTTTATTTCCCAGTTCTAATTATAAACTAAAAAACAAAAAAGTAATTTGAGAGCGAGATCTTTGATCGGTCCTTCTGAAAAGGTGTAAAAAAAATACTGAAAAAAAAAACAAAGAAAACTAAAAGATCACAGCCACAGTTACTTTACTGCTGATACCTGTAAACTTTCTAACCATTACTTCAGCTAAAAAATTTCGTTTTGCTCCTTCCTTCTTACGTGCTTTTTACCCCGTAATTAAAATATTTTTTGAATTTACCTTTTTGTCTTTATACCACTAAAACTTTTGCTTTTTTGAGGTACAAAGAATTTGGAAAAGCGTTCTAAAATCTTCTACGTCTCAGGTTAAGAAAGTAATGTCACTAAAAGTGAAGATGGATTTTGAGTTGAAAAGCAATGGCGATTCTGGTTATCGAAACAATGGAGAAAATAAAAGCGAGTAAACTCTTTGGTAACATTTGTTTTTCCTATTTTATAATTAAAAAAAAGTTAATTAAAATACACCAGTTGTTAAATAGTACAAAGGAATTACTTTGCCACTTTTGTTCGTTTATTTACCAATAGCATTTGTTTGTCTTTTTTTTGCACTTGGTTGTTTTTTGGCACTCAATATATTGTATTACAGTAAACAGAATGATGAAATGTTACAAAATTTTCTCTTTTAATTTCAGTAGAAGATAATGATCAAATTTTAGAGTTGACTGCGGGATAAAAGCTAAGTCTTTTACAAAAAATTTTGGTTTTAATTTTGTTTCCTTATGTTTTTTTCTCCTCTATTCAACTTTTCGTGCCGCAGGTTTGGAATTTTGCTTAATATTTGTACATCAGATCCACCTAGAAAGCAAAGTTTGCAGTTATTACCAAGCGTATTTTTTTTTACAGTTTGTAACCTACCTTTATAGGACCATGAATGCCCAAATCCTGCAGATTATTGTACTTAATGAGAACGGATTTTGCTTCAGAAGAAAAAATTTTGTTGGCTAAAACGCAGGCACATTGTTTTTCACCGTGTTTTAAAATAGCTATCTTTATGATTGAAGGTTTGATGTTTGCAAGTGGTTGGAATAAAGTCAAGCATTAATACTAGTTAGTTCTACAAAAACTTAAGGGAATTTATTTGGAGAAGCAAGGAAACACGTTCCTATTTTCAGTTTTTAAAAAATTTTTAAAATATTCGATTAACATATTGCTTACGTATATTATACCCGTTTTTTCTTCAACTTTTCTTTAAACTAACCAGTTCTCTCACCAAACGAAACCTTATTCAACAAGTATTTGCCGCCTAATCAGTTGATGCTTTTTAGTTTTTCTTTGTTTTTTTCGTTCTGGATTTAAATCTTAAACCAAGCTTTAAGGTCCAATTCACGAGACCAGGTCCAAACGACAGCTGCTAAGTTCCATTAGTGGGCACTAAGAAGTTTTTTGAATACACTGCAGCGGTTTAATAATCTCATTATATATAGCACCCAACTAGCATCCAGCTTTCTCTAGTTAAAAATTCAAGACTCAATGGAACAAGTAAAAACTGGTCAACAACAGGTTTTTTCATTTTTTGTCGGCAACCGTCAGCTACGGAAACAAAGGACATAAATAAAGGTTTTCTGTACCCCTTGACTTTGCGACTAAAATTTTTGCTTTCACAACTATTTTTAGAAGTTTTTAAAATTTAAGTAAATCAAAGTTGGTGAAGTGAAAGAGGGAAAGGAAGAAGAAAGACGGCGGTAGTGCAGAAAAAACGAACACCAGAGTAGGAAATGTTGAAGTGTTTGATACCAGCAGACTACTCTATCTGTGGGGTACCAATAAAGATAACCGAACTCTGTAAAACAACTTTGGTAGTCAGTTTTTGTTTTTGATTCTTCGTCGTTTAACGTTTCTCAAGTCATTTCACTTTAGGCAAGCAAAAGTCACTTTTTACCAATGTTTCTGATTTTTTTTCATGAACAAATTAAGAAATAATTAATGTGCAAAAAAGTGAAAAATCAAAAAACCTCCAATTACGGATTGACAAATTGTTGTTTACAGGCAAACGAGCCAATTACTGTCATCATTTCCATCTTCAGCCAAACTTCACCTGTATTCATTATCAAAAGCTTTTTTTTTTTAAAAATTTACTCCTCTTGTCTACTCTGATAAAAATTTATCAACTTTTTACGCCTCTATTGGTTTCAAAATTGTATTCTTCCACAATCTTTTTTTTTTTTTTTTTCTGCAGTTTTCCTCCTTTTTCGTTTTAATATTTTACAGCAATTCCTAACCACTACTAAAAACTTAGAAGGCTTTTTTTATACTTTCACTGGCTACATTCCATACTGTAGTTGGTAAAAAATGCAGCAAAAAAAGGCATTTCTTGGCAAAAAAAAATTTAGCAAAAACAGCAAATTGTTTTAGGCTTCCCTTTACTTTCAGCCACATAGGACGCTTGCCAAAACAGTGTACACCGAAAGTAAATATCATTTCGTAACAGAAAAGTTTAAGGATGATGGGAAAGGCGGCCAAAAGCGTTACGCAAAATAAGTGAATAGTTCGTGCTAAGTTTACTGCACGAAAAAGACTAACAACAAAAGTTTGAAAGAATTCTGAAGGCAAGAGACAGAAGAAAGTATAGAAAACTGGAAGAGAAGCGAGGGACAACGCCTCACCCGCATTTTCTCACTCACCACAGTTTTGTTTCAATTTCTTTCCTGCCAAGCATCACAAGAATGTCGGGGAACTTAGCGTTCAAAGTACTAACAGCAAGTGCGCTACGCAAAAATTGATTTTCGGTTATAATCTCTTCTTTTATATGTTATCAAAAGACGTAAGTGTTGTTAGCTTCAGCGTTAGTTACACTTCCTGTACGGTTTTTTATTAGGCTTTCATATGTGTAGAATTAATAGATAAACGTTGATCAGAAGTATCAGACTGACAAACATTGGTTGTTCAAAGGGTTGCTGTAAGTCGCGGCAATTTCACACCTTTGCATGATCCAAACAATAATGACTATGGCAGAGAAGATAATTGTAGACGGCACAACTTTACTTTCATAACATATCAAGCGGCCAATGTAATGTTTTTTTAAGTTGTTAAAATTACTTGTTGAAACTTTGAATTGTTTTAGATTTCTTCACAGATCAGTAACGAGCTATTGATGAGAAAAATTTATGTCATTTACTGACCATGTCAAGAGGAATAACTTTTTAATAGAGAATTGTAGAAATCTTTGGAGTGCTTGTCAATTATGCCGGCAGAAAAGATGAAAAAAGATAAGTTAAATTGGGCTGAAAGTGTTTGTAGTGTATTTTTGTTAAAAAACTGAAAATGTGGCTGTCGAGCTAAATAGAAAACCTATTGTTTAGGTCTTTTATCGACTCAGTATTGACGGCTATAAAAGTAAGGATGTTGAAGGTGCTAAAAAAAGCCTTCAAAATCAAATGCTGAAAGTTTGACCGAATTATCACAGCTAGTTTTGTATACCCAATGCTTTCGCAAAAGTTCTTTTTTCTCTCTTTCTTTTTTTTGTCAATTTTTTCATCTTAGTTTTTTGTATTTTTGCATTAAACTTCTTTTTACCATAGCGGCTGCAAAGTTTTGTAAACTTTTGTGCTCATATTTTCTTATTTTCTTC